GTGGAGCCCTGGGTGTTATGCACAAACAATGAATCATGGAACACTACATCAAAATCTAATGATGTATGGTGTATTAACATATGTTATGTGTGGTGATTAACATAACAATAAAAATAAAATATTAAAAAAAATAAGAATTATTATTGCTGTCAAAGAAATTCATGTGTTCTGGCCTTTGCAAAACACCTCTCAGGAGGAACTATAGTGTTTGAAGCATGGACAAGCTGGAGATAAATATTAGCCCTGGTATTTAGAGCAAATATTTGTACCTACCCGCCCAATACCTCCAGTTCTTTTTTTAAAATTTTTTGTACTATCAATTTTATTTGTGGTATTCACTTTTTCTGTTTCAAGTTTTTATTTAAATTCCAGTTAGTTAACATATAGTGCAATATTGGTTTCAGGAGTAGAATTTAGGATTCATCACTTACATATAACACCCCAGTGCTCATCCCAACACCCATGCGGGCACCTCCTTAATCCCCATCACCCATACGGCCCATCCCTCCACGCACCTCCCCTCCTGCAACCCTGTTTGTTCTCTATAGTTAAGAGTCTGTTTTATGGTTTGCCTCTCTCTTTTCCCCCCTATGTTCATTTGTTTTGTTTAAATTCTACATTTGAGTGAAATCATATGGTATTTGTCTTTCTCTGACTGACTTATTTAGCTTAGCATAATACCCCCTAGTTCCATCTTCGTCATTGCAAATGGCAAGATTTCATTCTTTTTCATGGCCGAGTAATACTCTATTATATAGAGATACCACATCTTCTTTATCCAGTCATCAGTCGATGGACATTTGGGCTCTTTCCATAATTTAGCTATTGTTAATAATGCTGCTATAAACATTAGGGTGCATGTGTCCCTTCGAATCAGTATTTTTGTAGCCTTTGGATAAATACTTAGTAGTGAAATTGCTGGGACTAGGGTAGCTCTAGTCTTAACTTTTTGAGGAACCTCCATACTGTTTTCCACAGTGGCTGCACCAGTTTGCATTCCCACCGATAGCCAACATCTCCAGTTCTTAAAGGATAAGCAGTGCTGTGTAAACTGGCCCTGTCTCCTGGGGCTCTGTGGGATGGAAGAACTCAGCAGATAGGAGGCTGGACTCTTCACCTGTCCAATTCTGTTCTGTGCCCAGAGTTCCTGAAACTCCCTTCTATGGTGCAGCACCATGTGTAAATTGCTTTGTAGGAGGAATTCCACTAGCTCCTTTCTGAGTAGAAGATGCAGCCACTGGGAAGCCTGAAGCCATCCTGGGAACAGTCTAGACACTTCTCTGTCCTTAGCACTGTCCTGAGCCTTCGACAGATTGCAAAATGCTTCCAAATGTCTCTGCCTCCTTAGGCTGGTGAGTTCTAGTTCTTAGTTCCACCCTTGTTTGGGGACAGGAGAATTACCCCTCCCATACCCTGCCGCAATGTTTCCTAAGGATCTGGAAGCATCTGAGGTTTAGGAGTTAGGGACACTGCAGAGTGTGTACGCAGACTGAGGGCCCTCATATCATCATTTCCCCCCTGCATACTCAGACTCTTCCCCAGCATGGGGTCCCCTGGGTATAGAGGCATATGCAAGGTGCTGTTAAGAATGACCTTGGTCAGGGGCCGCCTGGGTGGCTCAGTCATTAAGCCTTTGGCTCAGGTCATGATCCCGGGGTGCTGGGATCAAGGCCCGCATCGGGCTCCCTGCTCAGCCGAGAGCCTGCTTCTCCCTCCCCCACTCCCCCTGCTTGTGTCCCCTATCTCGCTGTGTCTCTCTCTGTCAAATAAAAATATCTTTAAAAAAAAAAAAAAAAGAACCCGGGTCAGGGGTGGCCTGGGTGGCTCAGGCGGTTAAGCGTCTGCCTTCGGCTCGGGTCATGATCCTGGGGTCCTGGGATCTAGCCCTGCGTTGGGCTCCCTGCTCAGCGGGAAGCCTGCTTCTCCCTCTCCCTGTCGCTCCCCCTGCTTGTGATCTGTCTCTTTCTCTGACAAATAAACAAATAAAATAATAAATAATCAAATATATTAGGGAAAAAAAAAAAGAACGACCCTGGTGAGATTCCCTTGAGAGGTAGTGCACCTGAAGTAAGTGAAATCAGGAAGTTTGAAAGAAAGGAAGCTAAATGGTAAAGAGAATGAGAGTTCTCACACTGAGTCGCTACCTGTGTGATTGGCATTACACGACCTGCTTTTCATATGCGGCCTCTTTAAATTACCCAACAGCTCGGTGATCTGGGTGTTGGTCTCCCCGTCTTTCTAAATGAGGAAACTGAGATTCAGAGTGAGTGGTGGAACAATGTTCAGTCTCTCGGCTAATCAGAATGCCGTGACAAACCCTGGCTCTAATGGAAGGTGCTGGCCTCCCAAATGTCATCAGTTGATGCAATTAAGACTTTAAAAGCTTTCTTCCTAAGAGCATTATTATTTCTCGTGAAGAATGCTTTCCCAGCCTCAAAGGTGATGGAGCTGGCAGCGATGACCCAAGAGCCATAGGGAAGAAAAACAAATGGTAAACATTCTTCATCACGATAATACATTTGCAGGACAAAACGCTAGCTATTAAAATATGCCGTGAACGGAAAGCTGCTTGACCCCATAGCTCCCTCGAGCATTTACAGTAAAATGGGCATCTGGTATTTGCATGCCTTCAAAGTTTCCTTTGGTTTGTCACTGGGACTCTGAAAATAACCCAGTTCTACTAAATTATTGATTAAATCCAGGCCATTTGCAAACTCCAGCTGGGCTCAAATGCTCAGGGAGTGCAGAAAAGCAGAAAACCCACAGTGCAAAATAAGGAGAGAGGGAGCGAGAAAGAGAGAGAGGGGAGACAGAGAGATGGAGAGGAGGGTCCAGCAACTGCCCCTCGGGAGCCCCCCATTGGGTGTTTGTTTGCATTACCCGCTTCCTGGTCTTGTCTTTAAGGAATGGCTTGATGAGCGTGTACAGGGCATGAATGTACCAGGGTTGGTTGACAAAATGGACTCCTCCGAAGCGGGCAGGAAAGCTGTCCTGGGGCGGAAAGAGAGAAATGCACACCAATTAGCACACATTCCAGATTGGACTGGGCCCGTAGGACCACAACCCTGGGAACAACCTATTTCTTCTCTCTGACGGAAGCACAAGGTAATGGTAAGGAAGAAGGCAAGCAAGCACACGTCCTTCCTAGCTGCTACCATTTCCTCTATCCCCCTTGCCTCTTTCCTCCCCTCTGACTCCATAACTTAAAAATCGTGCGTAGGTGCCGGCTCTGTCCTCCCAAGTCACAATGGCATGACCTCAAATGTGGCACGGGAGTGTGTGTGACCCAGATAGTCCGGGAGTCCAAATTCTCCCATGTGTCAGGCAACCAAAGCTTCAGGTCCCCCAAGCCCTGAGCACACACTCCCTCTTCTCCCTCACTCTCTGCCTTCCAGCTACAGCCCGCTCTGTTGGTGTTATCACGACAGCAGCTGAACTTTCTGGGCATAGGAAGGGACTGGAAAATGATTTCAAATGATCCAAAGAGCTGGAGCTCTCTGGAATCCACCAACGTCTGACAGCGTTTGCTGGCAACGTTTCCACAGAGGGCTAGATCTTTCTTTCATCCTGGGACCCACACAGTAGGGTCCGGGGAAGAGATACTTGTTGATGGATGGGCTAGCTGGTCCCCCTAACTGAGGGAATATGGGCCTCCTCTTCTGCAGATCAATATATTTTGTACATATCAGGAAATGAGAGCATCTTTCAAATGCTTCCAATTTTAGAATCCAGATCAGGGCGCAAGCTTATCTTTTAGACAAACTGAGAAGCAGTTCTCCACGCTCACTAGATCCACAAAATAAGGGCCCTTGACCATGAAGTCCAAGCTAGTCCCACAGCCCCAGGACCTGAGTTTTGGATGTAAGGCCCCCACAGATTGCATTGCATTCATCTTGGTTAGTGGAATTTAAAAAGGAGGAACAACTCATTCAATTTGAATTGCCAAGTGTGCTGCCAATCAATTTCATCGCAACAAACATCTTTGTAAAATGTAAGCAAGAAGAGATGAAAGCAGAAGGAGCCTAGCTGCCTGAGCTAACAGTTCAGGCAGCAGTCTGATCCCTGATGGTGTATGAAATGCCTTGCCTGGGTCCTTTTAGTAACAAGGCAAGAGGGTTATTAACTTTTTTTCAGAGCCCTGTGAGTCTACAGGATCCCTGGGCATCTTCCACACCGAGACCTAGTTCCCAATATAAAGTCCCTGAACTGTGTACATAACGGTTGACATTTAAAAAAAACTTAAAAATTATTTTTGCCTCTACCTAGACATTTTACAGAATTCAAAGGAATCGCATATTTTGAAGATAAACCAGATGATTTGATTAAAAGTCTTTGTTTTGGAGGGGATATTTTATTTTATTTTAAAAAATTTAATGAAACCACCAGGCAAGGGTAGAGAGGCTTTTTATACTAATTTGTACATATGTCATAATCTCTCACTATTCCAAATCTGATTTTAAATAGGTAAAAATTTTTAATAAGGCTGTCTTTTCTCTTTTAGGTAGTTTGGGATCTAAAAATTCTTTTGTGCCTTAAAAAAAGAAATCATTCCCCAAAGTTTTTCCTTAGCATAAGTGCTAAACACTAACCTCGCTCTTTTTGGTCCCTTTGAACTTGTTATGCAGAAATATAACTCATTATCCCACACTAAGTATGGGTTCTGAAAGACTATAGAAGAAGAGGTGAGTACTATAAAGGGTTTATCTATAAAACCAGGGCTTTACTATCTTTTTCTAATAGGTCCAATAAAAGGGTTTTTATTTCTATTGAAAGCCTGTTGTATTATACATTTTTAGGTTAGTAAAGTGGAAGAAAACTCTGTAAATAATACTCTAGAGGCAGTAGGCAAAATCTCAAAGAAAATATTAGCCTTTTAAAAATGTCTAGAAATTCTTAGTTTTAGTCTATGGAAACTCAATCATCAAAGACATCAAAACTGTTTTTCTCTTTGTGTCAGAGGAGATTGAAAGAAAAAAACACAAGGCTGAGACCCAGTCAGTTCTCTCCAGGTTGGCCCTGGTTTCAAGTCTGCCAGCTTGAAGGCATGGGATTTTATTGATCTCATCCAGGTCCGCCAGCAACTATGTGCAGATACACGCATGTAAGATCCTGTGCCTCAGAGGTCTGGGTTTGGGCCAGAGTAGAAACAAGATCACTTTTCTTCAGGTCTCGCTAAAAAATTCAAATGAAAGCCCTCTTGTCTGATAAAGACAATGTGCAAATGTTCTGGTATTCTCAAATGAGCCTGCCCACGTTATTAATAATAGTGTGTGTGTGTGTGTGTGTGTGTGCTCAGTACAAGGGAAAGATGAGGGAAGGAAAAATTAGCAAACACAACCCTCTTATAAGCAATGCCTGCCATTGTTGGTGGTGTTGCCTGGTCTCATTAGCAAATGACAGATACAGGGGAAGCAAACCACATATAAAGGGGAAATGTCTCCTAAGACCCCAAGGGGTTAGAGCCTTGAGCAGACCCATCTCAAGATGGTAGGCCGGGATTCAATGACAATGTAACACTGTCAGGGTTCTTCGCGACTAAAGAGTATGTGCTAAAACATACCCTAGGCTCAAGAACAAGGTGTTAATTTCTGTACATTTCATGATCTGTCAGTAAAAAGATAACGTCACTTCAAATTATAAACATATACAAATCATAAAATTTGTCCCCCAGGTTATTCCCTTATGACAAAAATAATACCCACTCTAGAAAAGTCAAAAATAGATGTAAAAAGTTTTTGAAAACCTAGAAAATAGAAAAAGACAAGAAAGAAAAAAGAAAAATCATGTATATTCCCACTGCTAAAGACATACTCCTGCTATTTTCAATCATTCAGGATAGGCTACGTTATATTATAATAACACACAAGCCCTGATTTTTATCATTTAAAACTATAAAGATTTATTTCTTGCTCACACAGAATAGAATGTCCTTGCTAGGTTGGCAGGGAGCCATGCTTGATTTGCTCTCAGCCAGGGATGCAGCCTCGCCCATCTGGAACAGTGCTGCTTGCCATAGTTAAAAGAATCACACCTTAGCTCTTAAGTTGGGCCACCAGAAAGTGACATGCTTCATCTATCATGTAGATCAATCACGTGCCTGACCTCAAACGGGTCAGGAAGTGGGATCCTACCATGGGCCTAGTGGGGGAAAGACCAAAAGTGAAGGTGGACAGCATTAAGGTTAACCAAGCTCTGTTTCCTGCTTCCCTTCCTCTCCCTTCCTTTCATTTGCTTCTTTCCTTTCCAAATGGGATCATGTTTTTAAAATTGGGCTTAATAACTATTCCTTGATGGCCTGCTTAATGCTGGTGATACAGTATCAAATAATACAAATATAGCATTTATGGGGTAATGGGGACACAGACAATGGCAATCGAGTAATGATTTGTTTAGTGTCTTTAATTCTTCACTAAAACATCGGTGCATACCTTGTACCTTTACAGTTCAGCACATAATTATGAGGGCAAGCACATCTCCCAAATTAGTCCTCAAGGCATTCTAACTCCACATTCAAGAGTGCTCCTTCTAAATCCCTGCTACCTGGAATACTGGCTCAACAACTGACCTACAAATCTGAGCTCCACTCACTCAGGTCCAGGAGTCCCTCTTTGCTCTCTGAATATTCAGAGTAAGGCTGTTCTCATCCATGTGCATGTTTCCTATATGCAAGAGCTATTAAAGCACGTAAGTGTTATTAAGATAAGGATCTGATATCAGAGAGTGAAAAGTGGAATAATGCTGACTTGAGATAAGTGGAGGAGGAGCCAGTGACCAAGAGAGTGATGGAATAATAAGGAATAGGTCTGAACATATAGGGAAAATAATTTTTAAAGGAACTGGAAAAGCCAGTTGATGGGGATAAACTCAACTATGAAAGGGAAGGAGATGGAGGAAATTCTATTGTACATAAATCTAACAGTGGGATAAATATTGCAGATGGACCTTCATTGTGGAGAATAAGAGGGTAAACTAGAGACATAGAGCAATATGGATGTGGCCAGATCCTTTCAGAGTAGTGCAAGGTACCTGGGTAGAAGGAATAACTGTTGAGCTCAGAATTGCAGCTAATTAAAGGATCAGGGTCAGCTCCCTAGAAAGAACTGTTAATGCCCTGATTGTCACTAACCAAAAGAGATGTGCCTTGTAGGAACTGCAGAGCTGCCAAAACCTTCCGGAGATATCATGATGCAGTGGCCACTCACCAGATGTTCATTTGTGCCGGCATTCAGATTTTATTACTGAGTAGCATCCAGTCTCCAGTATGCCAGTAATGAGGATAACCTCCCCTTCCCCACTGAGATGCTGTCAGAAGAGTGGACAATCAGGACTTTTGACTGTCACCAAGTGGTAATGAAACCACTGCCACGACAGTGTCAATGGAGACCATGTGGGAAGCCAGAACTCCTATCCCTGCCCAGTAGTAATGAAGAGGTCCCCTTCTTTGGGTGTCAGCAGAGGTCGAATGAGGAACCTGGATGTCCACCTCCACCTGGCAGTAATGAGGCAGCATACCCCCCTTTTCCTGCCAGAGTGGTATCCAAAACAACAACAACAACAACTAAAACTAAAGGTTTACATAAGATCCAGAACTTCAGATCATAATACAGAAATGTCCAAGTTAAAATTAAAAAATCACTCTTTATATCAAGAACTAGAAAAATCTCAAACTGAATGAAAATGAGGCCTACACCAAATGACAGAGATGTTAGAATTAATTGAAAAAAACTTTAAATTATCCATTGTAAAAAAAATACTTCAACAACCAATTATGAACATGCTTGACACAAATGAAAAAAAATAGAAAAACTGAGAAAAGAAATAGGAAGTGTTAGCAAAGAAGTATAAAATATAAAGGAGAACCACAATTTGAAATTTTGAACCGAAAAATATAACCAACAGAAGAAGTAGTCGAAATTCAGCAGATGAGCTCAACAGCAGAATGGAGGGGACAGAGGAAAGAGTCAGTGAACTGAAAGAACAATAAAAATTAC